TCCTCCGGTGAATTTCGAGATCAATGGGCGGCACTACAACAAGGGGTACTATCTAGCTGATGGCATCTATCCGAGATGGTAGACATTTATGAAGACGATCTCAAACCCTGTGCCAGGAGGCAAGAACGCCTGGTTTGCGAAGGTTCAGGAGGCTTACAGGAAGGATGTCGAGCGGGCATTTGGTGTGCTCCAATCTCGATTTGCCGTTGTTCGGTACCCCGCTCAGACCTGGTCAAAAGATCAAATGTGGGAGATTATGACTTGCTGTGTCATCTTGCACAACATGATCATCGAGAGCGAGCAAGAAGACCCAGTGTTTGACACTGAACCATACTACAGGCAGGGTCCTCTAGCCGAAGTTGATCACCAGCTACCGACAACCTGGACTGCCTATCTCAGTATGCGCCAGGAGATCCGAGACCCACAGGTGCATCATCAACTGCAGCAAGATCTGATAGAGCATCTATGGAGGCTGAAGGGCGATGCCGGGTGCGACGTGTGATGAAATATGAGTTATTATTTATTGAACTATATAATTTGTGTTGAACTATTTGTTGTTGTACTATTTTGTTGAAGTATTTGATATTTTTGTGATGAAATATGTGATAAAAAAATATTATGTGCATAATTGAACGCCGAACAACGACGAACCACGCCGAATATGAGCATATTGTCGTACGTATGGGCCCTTTATTCGCCGAAATGAGACTGAAAAATGGATCAATTTCGACGCCTGAGGGCGAGCTGGGGGCGACGACTAGGCGCGAAACCGTCCCAGCACCGATTGCATCGCCGGCTCACCCCCAAAGGATGTTTTTTATGCGTCCTGAAGGGGCCGAACAGCTGGAGATGCTCTTACACCGACGCCGCGACATCGCCCAGGCCCATGTCCTCATCTACGAGCACCACGACGCACACTGCCTGCATCGGCGCCGTGCTGCACCACGTGCACTTCCTGCAGCTCCTCGGCGACCTCTTCCCGCAGTACCACATAACCGCCAAGTAAGTACGAGCACATCATGATTGATCTTATTTCAACGTATTTAATTCAATTTTGGGTGTTGCGCTTGCTCAGTGCTCACTGTAGATTCGTCCACGCGGCAGGTGCGAATATTGGACTTCACTCCGTTGAGGGAAAAGCTTGTATGAGACAGTGACGTGCTTGCAGAAAAAAAGGGCCACCTGCCTCTGCCCATTGTTCGCCTGGCACCAAAGCGCGCGTACTTGTAACACGATCTGGGACAAGTTTGTTGGAAGAAATAAACAAGCAGAGCTGGAACAAATCTTTTCAGGATTTTGGAGATTCATCATGGAATTGTGTATTTTACAAGCATAAAATGCACTCGCTATGTAAACATTGTAGAACATTTTTTTAATTTAGAATAAACTGCCAAAATGTCTTACATTTGTGTACAAAGAGAGTAAGTAACATGTAAATATTATTGTGGAATAAATGAATGGTAACATCATTTTTGAACGATGGAGAAAAATGAGTCTTACAAGTATGATTTGTGTACATCCATTTCATGTAGGAAGAAATATTTGCCTCATATATTAGTTAAGAAGAGGATATAGTTTGTTACAATTCACCCCAAAAAAGCAACATGAATGATTACTCTCGAAATACAATTGACCCTAGCTTCTTTGCTCCGGTGATGACCCAAAGTTTCGCCTCCTCTAAGATGTTGTTTAGCAAGATCGGTGGGGGCGCACTATTGTGCCGGAACAACCTTGTGTTCCACTCATTCCATATGGATCACAAAATGAGCATAGTTAGAGAGGCCATTGCCTTTCTATCCCGCGTAGCATCACCGGTTCGGCTTTCCCACCAATCCTCAACATTGTCTTCCAAATGCCAATTGGAGGTGTCCCAATCCTCAAGGCGAAATATCTCAATGACCAAGTTCCAAAGCCACAGAGAGTAACGGAATTTGAAGAAGAGGTGGGATCCATATCCTTGCACCCTCCCGCAAAGGGGGCAAAGGCCACAGTTTGGCCATCCCATTTAGCCAACCTGTCGGCGGTACAAATCCGGTCTTGAATGGCCAACTAAGCAAAAAACTTGACTTTTAGCGGTGCCCAAGTATATGCCCAAGCCTCTCACACCATTTGGTCCATGGGAGAGAAGACCCTGTTAAGGAATTGCGCCTTGTAGGCGGAAGCCGCCGAGTAGTGGCCACTAAGCATATGCTTCCATACAATATCATCGTCAACAAGGTCGTCAAGATGGATCTCCTGAAGAAGCATCCAAAGGGTGAAAAATTGACTAATGTGCCCAGCGGTAACAATGGTTTCGGGGTTGATCTTGAGAATCCACGCGTTGTTCTTTAGGGCCTCCCGCACCTTCCAATTCTTTCTCGATGAGGCCTCGAAAAAAAGCGGAGCAATATCAATGGGCCTCCGCCCAAGTAGCCAAGGGGCCTCCCAAAAAGGGGTCCTTGCGGCATTGCCTCTAGTGATGGTCGTCGAGGCATAGAGGATCCTCTTCGCCACACGGGTTTCCCATCCCCACCCACATCTTCTTGGCTCCTTCCACTCGAACCATGGCCACCTCAAGCGCAGAGCACGTGCAAATTTTCCGTGTTGAGAACCCCAAGTCCCCCATATTCATGCGGTCGGCAAACAATCTCCCAAATCACCTTGCTTTTTTGCCCGCTTGTCGTATCGGAGCCAGAACAAATAACGCTCGCTGAAGCTTATTGACATTATGAAGGGTGGTAGGTGCATCAACAAGGGGAGTGATGAAGTAGACCACTTAGGATGTGCTCATGGACTTGACAAGGGCCGTGTGGCCAATGGTAGTGATATTTTCCCCTTCATACATGACCAACTTGGCCACCACTTTTTATAGTGAAAGAAGTAGCTAGGTAAGGAATGTAAGTTTTTTTTATCTTACATTAAATCCAACAATCAGGGGTATGTCCAAAGAGTGATTTATCTATCATTCATCAGATATCCTGCGCATGGATCCACCGTCCATGGTTGCTTTGAGATTCATGCTATTTTTTGATTGTTGCAAAAAAAAAACTTGTTTCAAAATGCTTCGTTCTGTTTTTGTCTTTCCAACATATATCAGCATGTTTTATTGTGTACTCCCTCTGTAAAGAAATATAAGAGCGTTTAGGTCTACTAGTAAAAGAGAATGCCCTTCTTTTTTATCGCATTTGGTAGTACACACTGGAACATTAAGATACACTTTGGAACTAGACGAAAACCCCAATGTAATATTTTGAAAATGGTGAAAAAAAAGGTAGCATGAATCTCAAAGCAACAATGAAAGATCTATTAATGCACGGTATATTTTCGTTCTCGGGTATTTTCATATTGTATAGAGAAACCCCGGTGGAATTTTACCGAAATATTCCAACCTATCCTCGGGGATAGGACAGGCATATACCGTGAGTAAGTAAATTCGCTCTTTCTCGGGCGTGTTAATCCTTGTTAAAGAGCATGGTTAATAGTATGTCCAACTGTTGGTTATATGTTGTTGCCTTATCATCCATAGGCAATTTTATAGTCAACATGTGTTAGTTGGCAGTAAATAGTACCACTTTATTATTAATACCTACCCATTTCACTCTCTCACAAAGTTTCTTGAAGTCTTTGTGGTTCTTAAATCCTTAGAAAACACTTCTCTTCTCTCTTCTTCAACTCAGCATAAATATAATATTTAAATTCGTATAGCCTAATTACATCATCTTATTATACTTGTTCTCAAGCGATGTCACATGGGTGTGACGACCCTTGGCGTGCCATCCTCTAGCTAGTCTTGATGGCACTCTCTTCTCTAGGCATACCGTTAATATTATGTCGCCTTCAAGTAGTACAAAAAGAGGGATGGAATGAGACGTTTCAC